GTCCCGGAATCAAAGGCTACACAGATTCAAATTGGGCTGGAGATAAAACTACCACACAGTCAACTTCGAGATATTTTACTTTTGTTGAAGACAATCTAGTTACTTGGAAAAGTAAGAAGCAGAAAGTTGTGGCTAGATCGAGTGCAGAAGTAGAGTTTAGAGGAATGGCACATGGGGTGTGTGAATTGTTGTGGATTAAGAGCATCCTACAAGACTTAGTAATTTGCTACAATCAGCCTATGAAGTTACATTGTGATAATAAAGCTGCTAGTGAAATTGCTCATAATCCAGTTCAACATGATAGAACCAAGCATGTAGAAGTGGATAGGCACTTTATCAAGGAAAAGCTAGATCAAAAAATTATTCAATTTTCCTACATCAAATCTGAAGATCAGTTAACTGACATCTTGACAAAGGCTGTATCAGAAAAAGTGTTTGAAGAAGCAATTAGCAAGTTGGACATGATTGATATATATGCACCAACTTGATGGAGAGTGTTTAAATGAGATAATATTTGTTGAGTTGTACAATTGTTGAAATTTTAATCATTGATTACACAGTTACATAATCATAGAAGATTTGTATTAAATAGATTAATTTTCTTATTTGCAGTTGATTGACATAATCATAAGAGATTTGTATTAAATATAAATAGTAACAGATTATTTCATTTCCTTATTCATAGTTGATTGACAGCTAATTTGTAATAGACTTAGAGTCTTCATTTATGTATATAATTACCCCAGTAGAGGAGGAATAAGCATACAGAAATATTCATAAAATGACACCATTGTTTTGACAAAAAGTAAAAACGAGGAAAAAATTAGTTGCATAATTAAGCATCAATAGGTATTAGCCAGCTAAATCATTTTGTCGCAATCATTTTGTTAGCCTCGTTCTTTGTCGTTTAACATCTCATTATTTATTTATTTATTTATTTTTGGTAGTCTCACAATGCAAACATCCTAAATTTTATTTACAATGCGTCTCCATTTAATTAAATTACTTTGACAAAATCAAAACGGAAAAATGTTTATCCTTTTAAATGACACAACTTATATCCTTTCACTCTCATAAAGAGGTGGGACTCACAAAGAGGTGTGACACAATGATATGCGTCTAACATATGGTGATTTCTAAGTAAAAGAAGCAAGGAATTAATCATAAATGTGTGAAAATAAGCTCATAAATACAAGAAATATTGATTATTCCTTCTCAATCATTCTCTCACTCAATTTATGCATTTTGATAGCAGGAAACACCAAAAAGAAGTGAAAGAGATAAGTTGAAATGGCACTGATCGCGCGGGCGTCATGAATGCATTCCTTGATTGATGGAATTATGAGAAAAATGGAAATTTAATCAGAATTAATTAGAGGATTATGACCTGATTGATTGGTGGAATTATGAGGAAAATAGAAATTTAATCATAATTAATTCAAGGATTATGACCTGATTGAGTTGCTGGCTATATAAAGGAAGCAGAACTCTAAAAGAAAATCATCTTTTGGCAAGAAGAAATTGGAGAGGAAGCTCTCGGTGACTGAAGATTCAAGACTTCTTCTTGGCTAGTCTTATTTTATTGTGGTAAGGGTCACAAACCTTGATGTGAACCCCTTGTATTTTGGTTAAGTTTATGGTTAATTATTCAATTGAATTTATTTTACTCTGTTCTTCATCCCATAATTCTTTTAGAATTCGCGACTCTATTAGGATTGCGAGGGTTAGGGTTCACAATAGGGATATTGAGATTCTAATTCCTGACAAAGGGTAAGATAACTGTTCATGTATGCACTAGGGATAGGCTATATGAACTGCAAACGTGGAAAATTCATTGGGCTTAAAGATTAACTTGAAAAGGGATTTCTAAGGGATTAGGATTCTAATAGGGTTAATAAGGTTAAGATCACTAAGAGATTAGGGCTTAACTAATTAATTATAAATGGTGAATTGTTTGATCAATTGGGTAATTAAACATAAATATTAATCATTATTACAAGGTGTGGATCAGAAAGGTGTTGGAGTCCTTTACTGCAATAGCTTTTTACAATATTTTTCTCAAAAACCTTTTATTTTAAATTCTTCAAATTTCTCTCTGAATTATTCATAAATTATTGAATAGTTCACAATTGTTACAAACACCATTACTTTCAAACCAACTCTTGTTCATCCATTCTTAAAAGAAACAATTAATTGATATTCGACCCAATCCATGTGGAGACGATACTTTTCTTATCACTCTATTACTTGGAACGATCGGTATATTTGCCGATTTTTCGCAACACACAACTTTGAGATATTGAAAATGATTGATTTGCAAACTAGAATACTAGAATACACCTGAAAGAAATTGAATTTATATTGTCTTCAATTATTTTGAACATGCAAAAACTCCTCCCAAGTCCATTTATATATGTATAAGACTTTAGAACTTGATTTGAATAAAAAATATTTGTGGATCTAAATTTGAGTTGTTCACTTGCTTGAGTTAACTAGTCTAATTAATGGAATAAGTCATTTATTCGAGTATCTAACCTAATTACTCAATTAACTCCAGCTGGTATTCAAGCATAGACAAATTGATATATAATTTAAAAAGAGGAATGAAGTGATAATTTCTTTTTAAAATAAAGGCAAAACGGTATATCAACCTATATATACATGAAAAATAGGAACAACGAACTAATTAAATGTTTTTACATTTATTTTAATTTTATAGTTCCAGAAATTTATATGCTAGTGTTTATAAAATAATTGTTTGTATAGTTAAAAGGGGCTTGAAAAAAGAAAAACGGGCTTTACCCATCAAACGAATAAAATAAAATTAATTTTTTTATCATTTTTTTAATCAAATTTTTAGCATAACTGCATTCTCGAATTTTAAATTGAGAAAATATTAAATTTTTTAAAAATATTTGTTATTTTATTTTTTAAGCAATTAGAAACATGCATTAATGATTCAATAATATTAATATCATAAAATACTCTTTAATAAAACTCTTACTTGAAATATATAGAATATTAAATAATAAAATCAATATGTTTCATATATTAAAAAATAATAATTGTTCTGTTTCCATAAATATGAGAATTATTAAAACTTCTCGTAAGAATATATAAGCTATATCGTTCACATTAAAATATAAAAAAGAGAAATGATATATACAATGGTCTCAGATCTCTTCACCAAAAAAATCCCCCCAAATCTTTTACTAAACAATAAATCGGTAGTTAAAAAAATATGACTGTATTACTCAATAACTCATTTACTGGTTTATAAGGAATTCATAGAGAGATTATTATACAAATGTAACATGCACACCTTAAGCATACATGAAGATAATTTATACGTCATTAATTTTTTTTTGAATTTTTTTTTCCTTACATTATTAAACAAAAATCTTGTCTGCAACTGCACACTATTCATTCAATATTTTAATTATAAGCTACATGTGCAAGAATCTCTTGTTACGTACTTTCCTATATCATAAAATTTTTTCAATTCATCCACGCATGGCATTTTTCATTTATTTATGACTTGTGAGTTCATTATTTTATTTTAAAACTATTACGCATGGCTTTCTCATAAATTATTTGGAGTCGTTTGGTGATTAAAATAGGTAAGGATCATATCTACAATTTTTTTTTACAAATTCTTACAATTGATAAAAATAATTGATCTTATTTTATTAAAGGCTTAGTTAATACATATTTAAAAGTTTAAAAATATATAGAATATTGTTACTATTAATATCTCTACCAGTTTATTTCACTGTTAGATCAATTATGTTATATAACGGTTATATTTATTTTTATCTTTATATGGAGAATCATAACCGTACAAAGTGAAAATGAATATAAATTATTAAATATAGAGAAAAAAGAAAGTTTTTAGAAAATTAAATCTTATTTTCATTTTTGTACGAAGAATCATAACCATATAAAAATGAAAATAAATATAAAATATTAAATATAGAGAAAGATTTTTAAAAAGTTAAATTAATACTATTGGATTTATCAAAAACACAAATTAATATTATTGAATCAATATAATTGATCTAGCGGTGAAACAAACTGGTGATAACATTAACCGGTAATAACAATATCTTATTCATTAAAAATATTCAAGAATCTAATTTTAAATAAAATATATAAAAATTTAGCAGTAGCACTCATCAAAAGAATTAAAAAATAAAAAATAAATGAGTTAATATCTTTTTGGTCCTCGTCAAATTTCACGATACCCGCTTTAGTCCCTACCAAAAAAAATGAAAAGTCCTATCTTGGTCTCTAAGAAATTCAAAATGAACCTATTTTAGTCCTTTTAGGAACTAATATGAGTCTTTTTTGAATTTGTGAAGGACAATAATTTTAATTAAATGACTTCATTTTAAATTTCTAAATTTCTTAAAAATTACGAGGAGCATATTTATTTGCTAGGGACTAAAACCAGCGTCGTGAAATTTGGTAACTGTAAAAAAGGTATTTACTCTGAATAAAAAAAAATGAAAGAAACGGTCTTTTCATTCTTCAGCGAGCGAATGGCGACGGAGGCACAGAGGAGCTCCTCCTCAACATGAACTTGGAAACCTCTTTCCCATTTTCAGAAATCCCATCGCATCGCATCGCATCGCAATCAATACCCCTCTCTTTCTTATGCGATTTCTGCCTATCATTCTCTGCGATCCTTTCTTTAGCGTTTCGATTCCATTTGCCTTTAAATCCTAATTGCATTTTTGGTATGATTGATTTCCTTAGCTTCGAAAAATCTTCGTTTCCCATTTTCATTTTTCACATTCTCAGTTTCTTCTATTTTTTTCACAATCGAGTCTCTGCAAAAGAAGAATTATTCTTTTTTTTTTTTCCATTACTCACACCATTTCTCTTTGTATTTGAATTTCGAAATAATTATATATATATAAAAAAGAAACTTCTCTTTCAACATGAGATTTAGGGTTTTCTGCTTATAGGTAGTTGTTGACATTGCTGAGTTTGGTGATTGTGGTGATGGTTGGTGGTAAAGCTTGCTGAGAGAGAGAGACAGAGGAATGTGATGTATTGTGGCGGAGAAGACAAGCAATGGAGTTGTGGAAAAGCTGGGACTGTGAATTTGCGAAAAGTGAGTTCCATCGTGCGCGACATTGGAGATCCCTGTCTTTCTCAGTCGCCTGTAAAGGTTGTTGTGAGTGTAAGACCACAACTCTTCTGGGTTTTATTAATTGCTTTGATTATCCTCAAGTTTAACTTTTCATAACTACAGTCTCATAGAGTATGTGTACTACATTGTTTTTAATTTACTGTTAATAGGCAGCATTTAGTTCTCACCATTGTTTTATTATAAAGGATCTGCCTAAGGGTTCCTTTGAATGATGTCCTTTGTGTAAAGTTTGCTGTGGTCTGTGGATAATCAGCCAAATGCATCTTCTGTAGTTTGATGCTAGTTCATCAATTGAAGATGCCCTAGAACTTCAGAGCCTATTGCACTTTCCACGGTCTTCTTCTATAATGGAATACATATTGAGATTTGAGAACCTCTTTAGTTAATCACTTACTCTCTCACACTCCTCCTCTGCAATATATGAACTAAATATGTATTAGTGGAGATTCCTCTCGGTTTCTTATTTGAACCGGTGGGCATCTGAGGAGATCTTGTTGTTTAATATAGAAACCAAATCTCGTTACAAAATGACTTGTGTAATGATTTTTATTATTTTTCACGGAGCAGGTCAACAGAATGCTTAAGCCAGAGAAATGGCAAGCCATGTTTGATAGTGAAGGGAAGGTGTTTGGTTTCCAGAAGGCACTAAAATTGATTGTGTTAGGGGTATGTCATTCATGCTGCGATCGTTTTTCTTATTTTCTTTGTCTGTGTCAACATCTTCATCATCATCTTCAAAATTAGGATGCTGCATGCCCAAGAATTTGGCTCCCCTTGACATGTTTTATTGGATAAAAATAGTTGTGCATGGTAGTAGTGGATTTGAACTTTTGCCTAACTGTGCCTAGTATCAACTTAATTTTACTGTCTGTAAGGTAGTTGGTGCTTTAGATTGATGTGTTCTTTGCTGATTGTTGTCATTTACTTGTTTTTATTGACTCTTTTATTCCAAAGGTGCAAATTATCAGATTGTTGTAAGTCAGATTAATTCCCAATATGGTGTAAAATGATTAACGGGTAGGGCTGATTCATGGGCATGGCAGATGACTTATTAGGAGGGTGTTTTTTAATAATATTTTTTATGGAAGTTATATACTAGGGCCTCAACTTATTATTTTAATGAAATTGTGAATGTTGCCTGTGACTTGGGAGGACTTCTTTTTATTTAATGAAATCGTGGGGTTACATGGTGATCTACTTGTTAAATATTAGATGTGTAACTCACTCGGGTATATTGTACAGTAATGAGAAAAATAAATAAGGTATTTCATATGGTGATTCATAAATATGATAAATAAAGACATTTTATTAGGCCTTAGCTTCTGTATGTGATTGAGTTGGATGGGTTGAACTTGGTGTACATTCAGTGTGCTGGATTTTGTTGCTTTCCTCCCATTGTCAATAAATAATTACCTCAATTAAGAAAATGTTGTTCACTTAAGGCATTTATAGGCCAGGCTTGTGCTCCCTTTAATACTGAATTTATGGACATAGAAAATTGGTGTTCATGCGGCTGTAATATCCTCGTTCGTCATAAGCTTGAGTCCATTTTGCCTTTGGGATCTTATCGAGCCATTCTGTAGCTTTTGGATTCTCTGCTTGCTATGCCAGAACTGTGACTGCTTCAACTTATATGCTGGAAAAAATAATAAAATTAAATCGAATCACTAAATTGGTTTGTTTCGACAACATTGGGAAATAGAATATTATTCTTACCTATGTTGATGACTTGATTGTTGAGTTCATTATTTCCAAACTCTTTAATATCAATGTGGTGAATACAGAACATGGAATGTGTATGTTAGAGAAGTCTAATATAAAAACCATAAAAGTAGCCTTAACTTAATAGCTTGAGCTTTTAGGTGAGATGATAAAATGCCTTTTGTTTATTTTTCTTGTTGTTAAATATTATATCCAAGTAATAACATTATATCCAAGTGACTTGCACATCTAATATTTAACAAGCAGTGCATCATGTAACTCCACATTTCATTAAAATAAAAATAAGTCCTCCTTTAAGTCATGGAAAATGTCCAGAACTTCATTAAAATAATATTTGAAAAAAAATCCTTCCTTAAGTCGTGAGAAACATCCACGATTTCATTGAATAATTTTAAAATAAAACCTCCCCTATTTAAAAAAAAAAGAAATTATTAAAAAGATCTCTACTGCTAAGTTGTATTATGGCATGCCCACGATTTAGTCCTATTCACTGTTCCTTTTATGCCATATTGGGAACTAATCTCTGATGTACACCAAACTGGTAATTTGCACTTCTGGGATAAAAAATTCAATTTTCTTCTTTTGTTTCTAGGGTCTATTCCTACATAAATGCATTTTTTAGTTATCAATCACATCAGATGAAGCTTTAAGCATTTTTTTGGATCATTCAATCTGGTTTATGGACACTATTTCACTTTCATGTTACGTTCTGATTATATTTATGGTAGATTACTTGCTGTTTAGTTTTAATTTGTAAGTTTAATTTTCTTTTCCATCAATATAAAAAAATATACATCTGTATTCTAGAGACATCAAACATGTGAATTTCAAAATTTCTTTCTAAAATTTAAGCTAAAATTAAAATTGTTGGTCTTTTCTAATTTGTTTCAATTTTTTCCCGTGTGTTAGGGTGTGGATCCGTCAATAAGACCTGAAGTCTGGGAGTTTTTACTAGGTTGTTATGCACTGAGCAGCACTGCTGAGTATCGAAGAAGGTTAAGAACAGCTAGGAGGTGTGGGGCCATCCACTTTCTTTGATTTCTTTTTTCTCTAGTATTTGCTGGATCTTAAATATGTCTATTTTGCACATAATGAGTTTTGAAGGAATGATCTTTATTCTTTAGCCAAGAAAGTCACAACTACGAACTTGCGAAATTGAATATTTCTATCATAAATGAATATGGCCATATGTCAATGCTTGCACGAAAACATTCCTTTGGCATATGTTAACTAGTTGTGTATTGTGTCAACAAGTGGAAGTGTTATTGTAGAAATGCATTTGGCATTCAATGGTGATATGATTTGTTTCAGCCAGGTTAGCACCTTTCCTAAGTTCTTGAATATGTAATTATTACTCATTGACATTGCAGGGAGCATTACAGTGACCTGATTAAGCAATGCCAAGCAATGCATTCAAGTGTAGGAACTGGTTCATTGGCATATATTGTTGGATCTAAAGTTATGGATGTGAGGACTTCATCTAAAGATGAACGAAAAATGCAAGCTAAAGTAGAAAGATCAACTTCTAATAATAATAGTATTGAAGTAGGAAAATGTTGTGATAGGAGCATTAATTGTACAGATGCAGCAAATACAAGCCAACAGGAAAGCTCCAATGATTGGGTTGACCTAGGTACTTTGAGAGCAAGCACAGACAATGCAGAATATGATTCTTCTGGTAAAAAAAACTGCAGTTCCCCAAAGTTAGGTAGTGAACCACATGGATCACATTATGTGATTGACAGTAGTTTTGATTTTCCTCCTTTACCTGTCACTAACCTGTTTGAAAAGAATGGTAAAGATGAAAAATCAGGCACAGAGCATGGTGATAAGATTTGTGCACAACATAAATTCAGATCTGAAGATGACAGAATGCGTAGCTTTCAACTCAATAACAATGTAGACTTAGTTATTGAATCAAACGGCCAACAACCTCTTGCTACCTTGCATCCGATGGATTCTGAAATTGAAATTGCTTCACCTGATGAGGATGAACCGGAATTTCTCTCCAACAATCCATTTTATGAAGCACAGATGGTTAATCAACTAAAAATATCAGATGTACCGCAGCCAGCAATGATAAGCGCCTCAATTTCCCAAGGATGGTCTGGCAATGAAGATAGAGTATCAGAATGGCTTTGGACCTTGCATAGGATAGGTATCTAAGTTGTATAGTGCGTCTCCCACTTCCTCTGTAGTTTGACAGAGAAAGTTTATCCTTTTCATCTTGATGACAACATATTTTTATTCTGTTATTCTTTCTAGCTAACAAGATTATTCCTTTCCAGTTGTTGATGTTGTGAGGACGGATAGTCATCTTGAATTCTATGAGGACAGGAGAAATTTAGCTAGAATGTCAGATATTCTTGCTGTTTATGCATGGGCTGATCCTGCAACGGGGTATTGTCAAGGTTATGTTTTTACCTGAGAATTTCTTGACTTCTTTCCAATGATTTTGTTCCTTTTAAGAGTTCTGTTATTATGACTTTGGACACCAAAATTTACATTCTTTCACTGAATATTGGATTATAGGCATGAGCGATTTGCTGTCTCCCTTTGTTGTAATCTTTGAGGATAATGCAGATGCATTTTGGTGTTTTGAGATGCTTTTAAGGAGAATGGTATTTGCAAATTCAGCTAAGATTCAACTAAGTAACTTTGTTTTCAGAGACTTATTTTCTTTCATATATCCCAGAGAGAAAATTTTGAAATGGAAGGCCCAACTAGGGTGATGAAGCAGTTGCGAGCATTATGGCATATTCTTGAACTTTCAGACAAAGAAATGTTTGCCCACCTGTCAAAAATTGGTGCTGAAAGTCTTCATTTTGCATTTCGTATGTTGCTAGTTCTCTTTCGGAGAGAGCTGTCTTTTGATGAGGCTCTTTCAATGTGGGAGGTTCGTGCTCCATGCTTTCCACTGCTCCCCACCCCAAAAAAAATAAAAGAATGAAATAAAATACCCATTAATTATTTTAAGTTTTTGAAATTCAACTAAAATGTAAACTTCACAGTTAATATTAGAGGAACCAATTTCTAGTCGGTCTGCTTTTGCTAGGGGGGATATGGTTGGTGGTATTGGTCAAAAGTGAAATATGATCCTAGTTTTAAGATAAGTTGCTACTGGTTCAAAAGCAAGCGTATCTAGTTTTGCTGTTTAATTTTAGATAGAGCTGTTGATTTGCTATACTTGAAATTGATAAACTGTGTTTCTCATCAGACCACACAAGGATTATTTTTATAATAATAAGATGCACGGACTGGGGCCCTATTTACATGATGTGGTACAACTAAACTAATAACTATGCATTCTAACACAGCTTTATTGCAATAAGTCCATTGAAAGGTGGAGATTAACTTTCTATACCTTGTGATTATTAGTTTGATTAAGTTATTGGTGTCTAAGGAAGCATGTATATGATTTTTGAAGGGTAACTAATGAGTTAGTGCTTTTCTGATAAAGCATCGGTCTTATTGGTTTAGTTCGTCAACACATGATCATAGTATTCTTGTGTAATGCAGATGATGTGGGCAGCTGACTTTGATGAATCCTTGGCATACGATTTAGAAGAGAATTGTCTGGAAGCATTGGACTTGCACCTTCCTAGAGACTCAAGCAATGATATGAGAGAAGAAATTTCATATACTGATGATGGTAGTATGAAGAGTGGTTCACAATCAAATCATAATGAAAATGATGACACAAAAGCTACACTGCAGTCAAATCATGGGAATACTGATCACTCTGTATGTGACTTCAAATCAAAGTCGCCATCATCCCATACCTTTTGTGGCTTGGCAAGGAATATCTGGCCAAGAAATGATCAAGTTCAGATGAGCACTATTTCCTCCATAACAAGGAAAGGAAATGATGAGTTGCCCATATTCTGTGTCGCAGCAATTCTTGTTTTAAATCGCCAGAAGATCATTCGAGAAACCCACTCCTTTGATGATATGATAAAGGCAGGTGCAATGATCTTTTATTCAAATTTTCTTAAGCAATTAATTGCTGTTATGAAAATCGTAAATACTATACTACTATTAAATTGTTTATGCTTTTTATGTTGACAATGTCTGGTGTTGGGTACCTAGGTTTGGATTATGCTTTGATTGGGAAATTTGAAGTTGATAGTGTTTAAACTTCTTTTTTTCTGGAAATTTGTATTCTACTAAGCACTTTGTGTCTTCCTGATGTTTTCCCACAATCACTTGTGCAATAATTGCATATCTTGGTGTTACTGTTTAATGAGGTGAGAAGAACTTGGGCAGATTAAAGGAGAGGCATGTGATGAATCCGTAGGATAGCGGAGGTTCTATTGTACAAAATGATTATACCAATCCAATTACATAATACTAATTTGAGAATGTGTGAACTTATCCCTCAAGTGACTATCAACTTATTTATAATATTTCTAACACTCCCTCTCAGGCTAAAGTTTATTAGCTTGTTACGTATGAACTCTTAAAAATGAAAAGAAACCAACAATATAATCTGGTCAAATCTGAGGACAGACATGGATGCCGGCCTGACACTACGTGGACAAATAATGTGCCGCTGGCCACCGTCCACTGCTGCCGGAAACATCATCTGGTGAAATTTCTGGCCGCGCTTCATTTGTCTAGATTTGTGTCCACCACAGTCCTCTGACCAGACTATACTATTGGCTATTTTTCATTTTTAAGGTTGCATATGAAATAAGCTTAAAGCTTACTAAACTTTAGCTTGAGAGGAAGTGTTAGAAATATTGTAAATAGTTTGACGATCAAGTCCCACATTTGTGTTTTGTAATTGGTATAATCAGTCTATAATAAAGCCTCCGTTCTGCTATTGAGACACACAGATTCATCATATGCCTCTTGTTTGCTAATTACTCAACAATAACTTTCTTCCTTTTAAATAATAATTTTAATCTTTTTTTGTCTCATGTAGGTTCTTTCATTACATATGATGCATGAGCTTAAGATTGCATTAACTTAAACCTTGATCTGGGGTTAATATTTGTCTGACTAAAACCCTTTGTCAATATTTTTTCTTTGCATTTCCCCCCTCTTTTTGTCGTGTTTAGTTTATCTTCTTTTATTTTGTTCAATTTTAAGTCCCTCTATTGAATTTTCCTGATCATTATTTGAAAAAAAAATTATGCATATGTTTAATGAGATCTATTTTCAACTTTTTTTCTTTCCTATGGAGTTATTTTAATTCATAATGCAGAGAAGGAAGGAAAAAAAATAAATTGAGGGATTATTGTGCATTTTCTTATTTTATATTCCAACTTTTCATAATACAGATGTTCAATGACAAAATGTTGAAGATCAATGTAAAAAGATGCATAACAACAGCAATCAAACTCCGAAAGAAATATTTTAACAAGGTATGTCCTATTTTAGTTATTTTCCTCTACCCCACTCATAGAAGAGGCCTTGACTGCTTTTGCCAATTTTATGGCTTTTTTTTTTGTTTGGTGAATGTTCAATATCCTTGTTTCAATCTATTAATGATCAAACAAGTTGGGGAAGTACTGCAGCAATGTATTGGTCTACTTCATCTCATTGTGATGAAATTGTGATGCTTTCCTTATTGAACACCTATGCAGACTGATAACAGAACACTTAAAAAACGTATTCCTTTTAATGTTTCTATTTCATGAAAGATAAAATTTAGATTTAAATCAGTTGCTTTCTACTGTTCTTTATGATTATGTGGCAATTCACTTTGAATGGTGTTTTATCCTAATACGACTTACTTTTATCTATATTTCTAAGATTTTGGTGTTGAAATTGATGTCTAATCTCTTGACAGGTAATCAAGAAAAAGCACCATGTTGCAGAGAAAGGGGAATAGGGTAAATATCATTGCCAATATACTCTTGCGGCAAAAGGCACCGGGTTTCACGTATATGGCTCTTCTTTTCCAAATTGGAGTATGGTGTTAAAATTTTTATTCGTTACTTTGGATGGGAGCCGTTGTAGCATAAAGTGTTTTTGCTTTTGGAGGTTCATCCTGCTGTTGTACCTCCATAGTCTTCATTTCTCTTTTTTATGAGGTAATTTCACTTTGTTCTCCTTTACATTTTGCTTGGTCGCTTAACTTTTGATGGTTTCACATAGATTCCGAGATGGTCTTTCCTAAGGCTTTTCTGTAGTGTGTTGCACTCAAAATTCAGTTCCAGCCCTTGGAAATTTGTTGCAAGGATTATTAATGGCCAAAAAGAGTGTTTTACAATGCTCTTGCACTGAAAGCTTTACGTATAACTAACTATAAGGAACGGATGAAGAAGTTAATAAGATAATTTGTGATTGAAGGCATCGAATAACGAGAGAACAAGAGGCATGTGTTGGAATTCGGGTGTCAATAGCACATAGGAGGCTGTATTTTATAAGACTAATTATCACAATTACATATCAATAATTTAGCGATGTACGACTTTATCACTCACTTCCTCACTGACTATCAATCTCTAAATAACTCTCACTCTAGTTAAAGCTTACTAAGCTTTGAAGTTGTTACAAATGAACCCTTTAAAATGAAAATTAACCAACAATATGCTTTTTCTTCTTTTCAATTTTTCCTATTTAGCTTTCCTTGTTTAAGTGAGTAGTTTGTTCTGTAAGGAATGTGCTTGTTTTGCTGTTAGGAAGATCATGTTAAAGATTTGTTTCCCTTGTAGTATTTGATTTTTTTATTTTTACATTGCTTATGTCGTATTGTTTCTCTTTTTCCTCCTCTTGATGCCAGTGGAAAGATTGACAAGGGGTTTTTCATCACACTGATTGCTCCCAGGTCTGATCAATTTGCAGTCTTGGATACTTGGCACCGGCTACGCAAACAAATTTTCTTTCTCTGAACGTTTGGTTTCAGCTCATATTTCTGGAAAAAATCATACATAAATCTATTTATTGCTTCGAGGATTTGGAGTTCGGAAAAAGCACACGCATACTAGAAGAAATAGAGGGTGGATACGAGGGAGGGGGTTATTGTAGTTTATGGAAACTTTTACCGAAGATAGTATTTATGATGGTTTATACATACTACGGCAATTTTTTGTTTTTAATGACTTCTTAAATTGCTGGAACTTTTAAAGGACAAAGGGGGTATTTTTCATCTCCTTATTCTTGCATAATTCTTTACCTTAAAAACACAAGCAAGTCCATTTAAACTGGGAATTTCCACTAAGCATTGCCTTATTTGCATATCGACAGTGTCGGCGAATCTCGCCTTGGTTTCCTGTTAAAACTTCGACATTCCCCATTTTGTACATTGATATAGCAAAAGATCTCATATAATCTTCAAATCCAGCTGCAAATTCCTCGGTTATCTGTTTACTCTCATCACCATTTAGTAATTGTTCATCCACTCCCGGACAGCTTCGCGGTGTAGGGGTTGTGTTAGGTTCAGTCATAGTCATAAACTGTGACATCAAGGCATCTAACATCCTCCTTGATGATAATTTTGAGTCTAAGGTAAATTTTAACAACTTTTAGCCCGCATTCATGGATATATAAATTTATAATAAACTCCTTTTATTTTAAGAATCCAAAGTTCAATGTCTTCTCCCACAAGGCAGATAATGCAATTTTTTGCTGTTGGTTGCTTATTTCAGACGACCTAAAGCATTCTAGCTAGTCGGTTGCTTATTTATGAACCCCATCTATATAGGTCTCGTTGTTCTTTATTCCAAATTTTATGTTTCTGAAATCAAATAATTGAATTTCTCCAGCATGCTCCACCTTTTAATGGGTTTAATGTGACTCCACATTTTTTTTCTTCTTTTAATCATTTCGTTGAATGAAAGTTTAGTGATATATGATTTTAATGAATACACTAGTGGGATGACTTACATAAGGATTTTAAGATAAGGTTCGTTTTATATAGGGTCTCTTTCTCTTCTTCAAACTAGTTGTGTAGGGTTTCTTTTTCAAAGGTTTTTTTTTTTTCTCTCTGTTGTTGATCTCCTTCTACTTGTAATGGTGAGAAAATGTTTCTTTTAAACAAAACAAATTAGGCAACATTGTATAGGCATGGTCCATCACGGGTCATGGAGCCAACATATGCAAATTTTCCTATATAGCTTTTCTTGTTTAAGTGAGTAGTTTGTTCTGTAAGGAATGTGTTTGTTTTGCTGTTAGGAAGATCATGTTAAATATTTGTTTCCCTTCAAATATTTAACAATGAAAAAAGATTGTTTGTGTTTAATTTTTTCTATTGCTTATGTTTGTATTCTCTCTCTTTTCCTCCTCTTGATGCCAGTGAAAAGATTGACAAGAAGGGGTTTTTATTATTGTACTTTATGGAAATGTGTGCTGAAGAAAGGGTTTATAATGGTTTATACATATATAGTACAGCAAAAGTTTTATTATTTTTTAATAACTTTTTGAATTGCTGGAAATTACAAAGGAATTTTCAAAAAAAAAAAAGAAATTACAAAGGACAAAGACTGTATTTTTCATCTCCTTATTCATGCATTATTCTTTACATTCAGAACAAAAGCAAATCCATTCAAACTGGGCATATATGAATCCACATTAAACATTCGATTTTGCCTACTGCTAATTTGGGCTGCCCTTATTTGTATATCGGCAATTTCGGCGTATCTCTCCTTGGTTTCCTGTTAAAACTTTGATATTCCCCATTTTGAACATTGATAAAGCAAAAGATTTCCTAAAATCTTCAAATCCAGCTGCAAATTCCTCTGTGATCTGTTTAGTGTCATCACCATTTAGTAATTGTTGATCAACTTCCAGGACAGCTTCATGGTTTAGGATCCTTTTGTAGTATGATTCTGTGAAGTTGTAACTTGATCCAGATTCTGGGTTAAGGTACACCAGTGGGTCTGTTTGTCCCTTCTTTCTTGGTGGACAAAGTTTTTTCATTGTGTCTAGAAAAGTAGCATTCATGCTTGGGTCTGATTTTCCAGTACCATTGTAGTTGTAGAGCCGATCAACAATGTAGCTACAATGTGTTTGGCCCATGGAGTGTGCTCCTGTGTTGATATGAAAAAAACATGTTAGGGATATAATAAAGGGAAAAAGAAGTATCTTCAAAAGGACACAGTATAATTTACATAAAGTCTCATCGGTCAGATTTTGTGTAAATTTAAAAAGTTATTTTTTTTTTCTCTTTTTTTAGTCACTTTTCATATTTACACAAAGTATAATCAGTCAGACTTTGTGTAAGTTACAAAAAAGACACAACTTACGTCCTTTAGAAGGAAACACACCAAACACATAACCGCTTAAGTTTTTGAAAGATTTGGTTTGTGAGATAATGTGATAGCTTCTATGACCAAGTGGTATAAAATTTAGTACTTGTCACACTAAGATAGGTGGGCATGTGACTTACCTAAGAGAGTTGTCATATCTAGTACATCCAAACCCCTTGATTCAAAGTATGCTAGAGCTTCTTGCCATGAGATAGATGGTGATGGAAGGTCTACTGATGCAGCATCTGATTTCATGCCATCCTTTCTTCCTGTGAAAACTGGATAAGATGGTGCACCTGCCTATTGACATAAATCCACAAAATGGTTACTGTCTTTTTTTTTTTTTGTTCCTTGAGGGGAGAGTTTAGTGTGGAGGGGCTAGTAGTGGAAGGAGTTCAAAGTAGACAGACTAGTTTGTTTCAAGATAGAAGTGAGTGTTGAAAGAGTACCAGATGAACAGCATCCCTGGTAGCAAGGTGGAGTATATCAGCACATGAGACAATTCCAGGACATCTTGATTCCAGAACAACTTTGATCTTGTCAATGACAACAAATCCTCCAAGCCCTCGGTTTTGTGGTGCTTTTTTCTCCGGATTTGATCCTTCATCAAGCAGTACTGATGCGTCACAGCCCTATTCAAGTTTATAAGAAAATAACAAAAAACAAACAAAGGAATTCATATTTTGCTAAAAGGTAAGTGAAAATAAATCATATGTCATATAAATGGCATCCTATATTTTGAACTCTACTCACTAAACTTAGTAGGGGGAATTTTTTTGAGATTCTCGGAGTGATAATGGTAATCCTATTTATCCACGTTTAGTATAAGGTTTCTGAATTTTTTTCAGGAATCTGATTTTCCCTAGATTTTATTTTGTATATAATTTTTCTTTCAAAATGTCATCCAAGAATATCACCAAAGAGGTAGTATTCTTAAAATCCAAGGTGTTAGAAAAATTTTATATTTTTTTTGGAATAAAATCCCATTAATATTTTGGTCTACCAAACAAATTTTTAGTAATATGGAAAAACGACTTTTCCACCATATTTTTGGAAATCATAATTTCCAGACACGAAAAAATTTATCTTCTACCAAACACTCCGTAAATACTAAGGTGATTGAACAGCAAGAGCTGAGTAAGTATTGGCTATATTTTTTTTACTGCAACTTCAATGTATATCTCTCAATTCTGTTATATCTTACCTTAGTAGCACCTATGCCTGTATTATAAGTTTTCACTTGTTCCCTTTCTTAGTAAGTTTGGAAATAAGGGAGGAAAGAAAAATAACTTCAAACTAGTAACAAAATACACAAGAAGGTAAAGACTAAGGAGTAGCTAGGACATACAGTGACAAAACAATCCGAATAAACCAAGCGGAGGAGCTTTGCAGTAATGCTTTTGTCATGATCCCAAAACAGCTTCACTTCGTGCCTGACATACTCCTCCACTTCCCTGCATGTATTGTGCATCTTATAGTAATGCCACTGCAACTTTGGCTGTGGAGGTGCTGCTGCATCTGCTATCCCATAACACAAGCTCACCACTGCAAGAACCAATAGTGGGATAGCCACACTCATGATTCTCCCCATTATTTTGGGTCACTACCACTACCAAGTCTCTCTTGCTCTTTCTATAAAACCGAGCTTGTTTTGTAGCACTGCCAATAACGTATCCCCTGTTGCTACTTATATAGCACACATTGTCATGGTGACATAACCGATCACGTCCACATAATGGAATAGAAATAATAAGAAGGGATAAGTTATTCTACCTATCATTTTTTTCTGTCTACTTTTGCCTATCACTTTTCAACACTATTAGATCAAAATTTTAATTAATATTTATTTTTCTCTCTCTTTTTAGATTCTGATCTAAATGTATTGGAAAAGGATAGACAAAGATAAACAGAAAAAAAAAAAAAATAGTAGGTAAAATAAAAAGAAAACTTATAGAATAGAATATTTAGTTAATTTCCAATTGGATTTGTGCTCAAATTTGAAATCTAGTAGTCCAAGCATTACGGCACCGTGTGACGGAAGAGTGAGGCATGGAGCTGTTCACATGCACCAAGGCGCTTTCAACATCCTTCTAAAGCCATTTTAATGCTAAGACGTAGGTACTAAGGAACGTGCTTTCCATGTGACCTCGACTTCGATTTGGGGTCTCATTTAATTCTATTACTCTAACCACGAGAATGAGTCTTTTTATGATCCAATATTTCCTATAAATCGAGAAAACTATGCGTTTCTCTATGTATACAGTTTGTATATTATGTATTAATCTATGGTATTGCATGTGCCATTTAGGTCTCATTAATTTGTTTATGGCATGCAGGGCAGGGTGGATGTGGTGGATCCCGTTAATTATTTTCTTTTTCTAGTCATTATTAGACCACAAATACATGCAACTGAATAATGTCCCAACCACCACTGAAACAAATCGATTTGCAATATTGGTATATACCCACAAAGGAAAAATCTAAGAATTTCGTAAATAAATGGAAAGAAAGAGAAAGCCAATGTTGCTTAGTTATTTTATAAAGAATAATGGATTTATAACTTCTTTAAACGTACTTTACAATGTCTGCTTTGAGGCAACTTAATTTTAAAGATTTTGACCGTTTAATATGGAAAAATGCTTCCGGTTGGATCGCATGGTCAATCTTTCTCTTTCTCTTACTCTTCCAGTTGGATCGCATGGTCAATCTTGCAAGCGTGAATAATACCGGTTAGGTGACACACAATTACATAACACCGAACTTAAAATCTTAAAATATTACGTTTATGGATTTTTTACTTATATGGCTTTACTTATAATATTTTCAAGCGTGAGTCTCAAGCCCACATTTGTTCGCCCGGGAGGAGATGACTCTCGTGATAGGGGAAAATTATCATCAATGAGATAAGTGACAGTCCACCATAATAGGTGAATTTAACATCAAATCTCTGTTAGTATATGGATGTTCTAGAGACAATCTTTTAATTAGATTAGGACATATGTGAACCTTTTATATTGTCACAAATAAATAAAAAGCACTCTTTATCCTGTTTCATATTTTGTCTCAATATTATAGTTAATATTTTATATGAATAACTGGATGAACCCCTTAGAATAAAATATGTATCTCTTGAGTATCTGTGAGGAGATCACGATCATGAGGATTCAAGGATACTGGATGTTTATTCCTAATTTTATGTTCCTAGTCTAGAGACACTGAGAATGGGGATCAGTGATCTCGGGTAAGACTAGCACGACTTATCTACTTGTATTCGGATGCAAGGTAAAGACCTCATGAGCTACAGATATGGAGATGTCTTAGCTAAAGTTGTGGGTGGACCTATAAGGGTATAGCTCGCACTGAACAGACCTACAAAGAGACTCTATGAGAAAATCTTACAAAAGTATCATTAGAGCAGTCTCTTAATATTTGGGTATGTCTTTCCTTAGACCATAAGTTGTCACCTAGACTGTGTTCTAGAAGGCATGTTTGGATTGTATACCTCGTCTGCCTGAAACATGGAGACTCATAGGTATACTTTTGGGCATGTCCTGAAAGAGCACATGCCTAGGGTGATAAGCTGAAGGAATTCGTCAAATCTCTGTAAGGGATTAGGTTATCTGTAAACCGGAGAAATCGGGATGACATTTACAAGACTCGGGAATCTAGCATAGTAAAAGAGATCATGAGATGATCTGCCTTTAGAGTCAGTGAATTGAAGATTCCCTATTTCGAATTAAAGCTTACCCTAAACCGCAAGGGTTGATACGTATCCTCACCCTAGGTTTAATAAGAAGGTAACCGAGACGAAAGGAAATACATACGGTAACCAAATATGTGTAATAGGATGATCAAGTCATTAATCTAACTAGTTCTGGGGCAACAAAACATTGCTAGTGCTCTGTGTTGTCATTAAATGGGTTGTGGGCTTGTTGGGCCCGGGCTCATTTATGTCAGTGGCTATGTTGGACCTAATGGGTCACACACTAACACCTTTGGACCTGTTTGGTGTCACGTATAAGGCATGATAGTATAAGCTTATACTATACGTTATGACATTTTCAGCTGTTTGGTGTGATTATCGTATAATATAAGCTTATACAGCAGAATCCCTTAATACATCAAAATGATGTATAACTTAATCCGGCCTAAGGGGAAGGGATTAGACCTGATAATAGGTTAGTGTATTAACATCGTTGACCAGTGCAATTCTAAAAAATTAATATATTATTTTAATATTAATATATTAAAATAAAAATTAATTTTTCAATATATTAATTTTTAAAATATTGAATATTTTTTATTTTTTATAAAAATTAATTTATGTTTTGGACACACTGATCAATAAATTTTTATAAAAATTAGTATCATATGACAATTTTTGAAGAATTATATCAATTCTTTATTAAAGGATATTTTTATTAAAAATATTATTTTTATCTTATATAGTATTATACAGTGCATTACCAAATATTAGATGATATTATCTTTATACAATATATTATTTTATACAATATCATATCAAACGCTGGATAGTATTAAAATTCAATCAGGTCTTATACAATCAGGCCTTATACTATCAGGTCTTATACTATCAGGCCTTATCCTATACTATGCACCAAACATGCCCTTATTGTCATGATGATATATCATTAAAGTTATTAGGCCTAATAATGGTTGTTAGCTTAAGAAGAAGTTTGGAAGCCCACCAAAAGGGGAAAGGGCGCATGGATCATGTAATGGGCTTGGATGGTCCAAGACATTACTAATTAATTTAATTAGTTAAATTAATTATCAAATATTTGAATTTTGAATTTTGAATTTGAAATTCGAATTTTGAATTTTGAATTTGAAATTTGAAATTTGAATTTTGAATTTTGAATTTAAATTTTGAATTTGAATTTTGAATTTAAATGTTTGAACGTTTGAATTTAAATGTTTGAATTCGAATTTGAATTGGCTATGAAAAGTTGTTTCATAACAAAAGGATAAGATAAGATCTTGTTGGAACAAATCCCTAGTATCAAGAGGAGATCTTTGATCACATCCAAGGCTGAATTTGGGGCGCCACTTTGGTTGTTGTGAGTGTCATCTTGTCAACCGAATAAGCTCCAAATCAGATTTGGTTTGTTGAGAGAATCAGTGAGCTAGATGGTTCAAATTTGAATGCAACTACACAACGTATCTGGAATTTTTTTGGGGCTGAATTGGGCGCACCATACGGCTTGCCATATGATGTTTCTTAAGTCAGATTTTTGTTAAGATATTTACTTGATATCATGAGGATATGATAGGAGGTTGTTGGCAAGATTTGATTTTGCAACAACTCCATTTTTCCTCTCTATTGTGCGCTACTTATGGTCAGATTTTTAGAGAAAAATCTGATCCAATTTTTGACAGTTCTCTCATCTCCTTTGGTCATACTTTTGTTAGGTTTTTCCCTAAGTGTTTTTGGAATTAACCTAGCCTTTTCTAAGAGCATCCATGCCCCACTTTTGTGAAGTTTTCAAGCTGAAAATTTCACTCTTCTAAACACCTTAACCTAGCCTCCTCCTTCACACATTGGACGCCTAGCAAGCTTTTGTGGTGATCAATTGGTGGCTTTTCAAGAAGAGTTCTTGTGTCTTGACGTGGGTGGTGTGGATCAACGTCAGAGGGTTTGAACCCTTCAAACCTTACACTGATCTCCTTGGTGTTTGAATCACAAACAAAGATAACATCATGCTGTCTTAAAGCATGAGTTTTGAATGCATGTGTGATTCCGCATGAATTTTTTTTTCCTCTCACATGCTTCGGCCTTCAAGGTCATTTTTCTATAAATCTCAACTCAAAATCTTTAGGTGCTAGGTTTATAAGCCATACCATTTATATGGTTCTCATTTATTGTATTTATAACCAATGTGACACTTCACTATTCATACTTGGATTCCTAATAAAATCAATAAGAATTTGATATGAACATGAATACTCTTAATATGAAGATGACAATAATAGTTATTCATGTCAAAATCCTCGATTAAAACACGATCCGTTTGCTACATCGGTTGACACAACACAAATAATTCACTAATTTTACTTTTCAAATCAAAATTACTTAAATAATCTCATATTAATGAATAAAAGTAACGCAAGGAAAAATATGTGATTATATAATTTTTAATTTAATTGGGTCGACATGAACACAAATACCCCTAATATGAATACAATATGATTTTTGGGTTATTTTTTTATACATACAAACACAACACAAATAAAAAATACGGGTTGACAAGAGTAAAAAAATTTATGCAGAATTTGGATTGTGTTAAAAATTATCATCCCTAACGACTGGCTTTTTTACCTTAGTAGTGTCAAATTCGTATGGTTTGACCGATATAATTTCATGGCCAGAGTTATTACCCATATAATACATAACGACGCGGTATGTATAACACCTCATATTTCTAAATGTATAATTATACATGAAAATGTGGTTTAAAGGGAAGAATTAGTGAAAATTCTGAAATTAGGGTCAAATTGCATAAGAAGGGTAAAATGGTAATTTACCAAACACGTAACCCGAGACAAGAAAAATTGAGTAGGAGATCTCAA